TTTTTTTTTTTTTTTTTTTTTGATGTCATGGGGATTAAACCCAAGGCCTTTGCCTTTCAGCCTTTTAACAGTTTTTTTAAAAATTCTGAGACAGAGTCTAAGTTGCTATGTTGCCAAGCCTGGGCTCAAGCCTGTGATTCTCCTGCCTCAGCCTCCAAGAGTCCAGAATTACAGGCATGCAGCACCAGGTCTAGCTGGAAAATACTATGGAAAGTATTCGACTTTTTAAAAAAATTTTTTTTTACCAACCTGTAGAGTCTGTGAACTGAACTCACCCACTGACCTAAGTTCTAATTTGATTTGGTGACTTGGGATGACCTCAGCATTTAAATTACTTACGTCATGGTGCAGTGTGTCCTTGCTCACAGAGGTGTCACGAGTCTGTGTGGCCCAACCTTCCCTGGTCCTGACTGAGTGGAGAAGGGACTGGTAGTGTGGGCATGCATGTGGCTGGCTCTGAACCCTGCTTGTCCTGCTGTATTTTAATTGAATTTATAAGCCTCTCTCCACCTGGCTTTATCTCTTTATATAAATATCACCCGTGCTCAGCACCATGCTGACCACATAATAAATCTTAAAATAAATATTGTACGGATGGTGAATATGTACTTCACTTAAAGTAGTGAATCATTTCTAGGCTAGAGTTGATGTGTTTTTATCAAAGTTGTACCTTGTCAAGTTGCTGATGCTCTTCTCCCTTCTGATTTCTCTTCGTAGTTTGCTGGTCGATTCAGAAGGACTCTGGCTCCGTGGCATTGTAATGTGCACAGACATTTCCAAGGCAATGCAAACAGCTGACGCCACCTGCGCCCCAATCCTAAGACTGTACTGAAAACATGGCACAGGTTCAGCATTGTCGTAATGGAAGGAAATTGGTTGGCAGTGGCTCATTTCTGACACAATCTGTGGTCCCCTGTGAGGGAGGAGCAACATCTGCACAGTGACGGTCCAGCGTGCCGTGACGTCGTGCGTGCGCTGTGACATCCTGCGTGCGCCTTGACGTCCCGCATGCGCCGTGACGTCCCGCCTGGCTGCCAGGCCTCGGTGTGCTCCCTGACCGTTCAGTCCAGTTGGTGGTCTCGTCTTTCGCCGGATGCTGTTTTGATAATTTTTATATAACAGAATCCGTACTCTGTTTATAACCTAAGATAATAAGGACAGTATAAATGAGTTACCTACAGTAATATATTTGCTTCTTATCTTTCACTATTTCTACATTAATTTTTAGCTGTAAAATTGGATTCTTACTCTTTCCTGGTTGTTTTTTTTTTTACTATTTGGTTTTCAAATTGTATTTAAATGTCAGAATTCTCACTATTAGAAATGATGTATCATGTTACAGCATTTAAAAGTAAACCTGTTAAATTTCCAGTTTGTGTGCACTAGACACGTTTGATGAAATCCCTGCTTTGTTTGGCCAAAGGCTTTTTAGCTACAAATATTTCACAGCCAGTGAGTTGCACATTCTACCTTATGTAATCCTGGCATCTCTTCAAATTAATTCTGTACTGTTTTCAAGGACTTAGGATAGGTGGTTAGTGGGATATCTGGAAAGTTCTCGATTTACTAATGACACATATCTATTTACTGTTGCAATGTAATTACTCAATTTACCAATGTATTTCAACAATTAAACATTTTTGTTACTCCTTACCAGAATTTCTTAATTTTTTTCTGAAAAACACTTTGAGAGGAGTGACACATGGCACTGTGATCTATAGACACACTATATCAATATATAGAGGTAATCATAAATTAAGGAAATAAAAATGTCTTGCCACAAGAAAGGCATTGCCTTATTGATTTTGGTTCATATAATAACCATAAGAACATCAAATTAGTGAAAGATAAAAATGACTAAGGAATTACGATACAGGTCCTCCGAACTCATACCCACAAATCCACAGTGCCATTTAGATGGGTCACCAGCAGTTTAGCTCGGAGATACCAAATCGATTGAGTTTTTGGAAAACTTTCAGTTTTCAATTTTAGGTTCATGGAATCATGAAAGGATTGTACAGAGAGTTCCTGTATGTCAGGACCCAGCTTCCCCCAATGTTAGTCTTGCTAACCATGGCACATTTGTCAAAACTAACTAGAAATACAGCCTTTAACTATATTCCATTTGCTTTTCCATTAATATCCTTTTCTTTTGGTACCAGGGATTGAACTCAGGACCTTGCACTTGCAAGGCAGCAGCAGAACCACTGAGCTAGATCTCCAGCCCTCACTAACATTCTTCTTTAGGGTCCTGGAATTGAATCCAAGATTGCATTGCAGTCTGCTAAACTTTGTTCTCCTTTTCTCCTCCCTTGACAGTTTCTTAGCCTTTTTTGCTTCTTCATGACTTTTAATGCTTTTGAAGCCTGCTGCTTAGATATTTTGAAGACTGTCCCTCCATTTGAATTTGTTTCCTTATGATTGGACTGGGGCTTTAGGTTTCTGGGGGAGAGGACCACAGAAATGTAATCTCCCCCCTACCATGTAATAATAATAGTACCTGTGAGACTATCACGTCTCTTTACTGGTGACATTAACCTTAGTCACTTAGGTGACTTCTTTCAGCTTTCTCCACTATGAAGTTTGTAGGTTTCCTTTTCTAAAAACCCAATTAAAAAGTTGAAAAACGTTTCTAAAACGTCATTGAATTTCATTATAAATAAAGTGTCTTCCATATTATGGCAACTCTTAACATTTACTTTCATCTAGATATCACTTATGTTTAGACCTCTTTGATTCTCACATACATCCCACACGTCTTCAGGTAAATGATTATCCTCTTAATATTAAGCATTGTAAGACTTTTTTATTTGGTACCGGGGTTCGAACTCGGACCTTGCGCTTGCAAGGCAGGTGGTGGAACCACTGAACCAAATCCTCAGCCCTGCCAAACTCCTGATTGAACAGTTTAGAGAACAAACTTAAAGATCTTTCAGAAGAAAAGTGAGAGCTGAGTAAAGTCTCTGGAATTCCAGAGTTAAACCTTTCCAAACAGTATATTTCTTTGCAAGATTACTTAAAAAATAGGTGAGTTTCAGAGAACTTATGGTCAATAAGACTGATTGTTGTAAGAAACCAAAGCCAATGGGCACTTAGATTGCATTAAAAAGATTGCTAGAATTTAGGTGGGGGGACATTGCTTGAAACTCGAATGTAGAAACATCCTGAGCAATCCAGCCAGCCCAGGGGGGCCATTTCTGAGGAATGCTGGACTGGTGAACTAAGCTTTCAAAAGTGATGAGGACCAGGCTTTGGAGAGACAAGTGAAGACAGAAGATGCGAAGTCAGTACAGTGAGGAGTTGCTTTCTCATTTCTGAATTGCTAAGATTTGAGGAGGTAGAAGATACAGTCTCAGTCTCACAAGTGAGAGCTATGACTAGCAGTATTGTACCCATGTCCAGAGTTTTGAAGAATTTCAGGGGTTAGAACATTATGTGAGGAACTCACTCCCGGGAGAGAGTTTAGTTTTCTTCATGTATGTTCACTTAATTTAGTGCACCCAAGGAACTGAGCAGTACACACGAGGACACACGTTCTGGTAACTGGTGTACCTGGAGTTCCCTGTTCTGATTTTTGTTCTTTCACTGGCCATCGCCGGTCGAGTTCTTGCTGGCCCTGGGGGGCACTGGTGGCTAGGCACAGCTGGAAGACCACTCTGCTCAGAACTGTGGGGGAGCCTGCATGGACGTGGCCAAAGTTGGCACAGAGCAGAGACATGAAGGTCAGAACGGGCAGGTGAGGAGGCTCCCCAGAGAGCCAGCCATAGACAGGAGGAGACGGCAGCATCTGGCAGTGTACTAGTGAGCTTTGCTGTCACCAGCACAGCCAAACACAAATGCCTGGTGGCCACAGCTTGGAGGAGGGTTTTCTCGTGGCTCACAGCCTCAGCTCCAGTGCATGCGTGGCAGAGGGGCGGGAAGGAGGACACACCCTTCCAGACCACAGCCCCAGGGAACCACCTCCAGCCAGGCCCCACCTCCAACCAGTGTGTTCTGTTCCTGGACTCCTCCTTGGAGAATCCATGACCCAGTGCCGCATGATCCAGTCGCATTCCACACTTGGGAGCCTTGGGGAGACGTTCTGGGTCTAAACTGGATCACGCAGAGGACTGCAGGGGCAGGGGCCCAGATCCCTCTCAGCTCAGGAGCTGAGCCGGGCTGGGTGGGAGGTGATGGTGGTAGGTGGAGTGTGGGTGAGGGGAGCCCCAGGGGCTCCTGCCATCTGGGGGCCGTGAGAGTGGAGCAGCCCCGTCACACGCTGGGTCCTTCCCTTACCTCACAGGTTTGCACTGACATTTTCCCGGCTGCCGTTTTGTGGGTCTGTCTGTGGCAGGCCTGGCTCTGTGAATGTTTTGGCTCCCCCATGTCACCTATAGTCCAAGATGTGTGGCGTTTTCAGGTGTGGCAGAGGTGCACAGGCAATGAACAAGTCTGGAGTATTCCGTCAGGGCAGGGCCCGGCCAATCTCAGCGCTGAGTGTAACCGGTGTTAGTAAGTAGGCCCTTGTATGGTTTCACATGTTTCTCCTATGTATTTTTTCTATAAAACCATTACAAGGGGACACTACTTTGCCATAAAGAGAGAGAAGCTTGGGTCACTTGTAGGAAAATGGGTGCACCTCAAGACCATGATCTTCAGTGAAGTAAATCAGAATCACAAGCTTAAATAGGGTATGGTTTCCCTTGCATGAGAAACCCAAAGGGTAAACGGGAAGCAGAATGGAGGACAGATGTTGGGAGGCAGGAAGAACTTACTCAAATGGGAAGGGAAACAAGGGAGGGTAGAGCGGGAAGGAAGGAAGACGAAAAAAGATTAAAACGATGAAAAGAAAAAAGTGGAAACAAAGCTCGCCTACATGGAAAGGAGAAGACTGGTGGAGGGGAGGGGAAACAGAACGAAGACACAGTAAGCACAGGTCCACATTCCCTGTGAGGAGCGTGGTCACGGCCTGACAAATGAGTACGAGTAAAAGGTATCAAGTAAAACAAAAAATCCAAAACAGCGAACCGTTCCGTTAAATGAAGACACTCTCCTCTCTCTGTAGCAATACCCGAGTTAGCTCTTGAGTATACGTGACGTGGTTGAAGACTGTGCGGATGTTTACATTTTTAAAAGTTAATACAACAAACACGCATTGCCTCGAGTCCCCCGGAACCCTCCGCCTAGCTCTGGACACATTTTCCCGTCATTTGCGCGCCTTTCTGCAGCAGCCCTGGAGTCCTGTCTCACAAGGGTCTGTCGTTCCGGCTGCCTTGACGTCCTGAAGGGATCTGAGACGTTTCCCTCTCCCGGTCCTTTTGACTCTGGGGCAGAGCCAGAAGTTGCACAGCAGCGCATCCAGTGATAAAGTGGACGAGGACACAGTGCCTTGTTCTTACGAGCTGCCTTTCTGTTGGGTGACGCTCGGCGCAGTCGCTGTGTTTTATCTCACCTCACAAAGACACTCAGGAAGGAGGACTCCGGAGCAGCTTCTGAAAGCGGCGAGGGAGATGGGATGCGCGGTGTGAGGCGAGATGAGGGAATCGAGGGGATTAATGGTAATGTATCTTTTAGTGCAACAGAATTTAAAGATGTAACTTCCCACTGTATACTTTGGCCCCTTGTGTATTTCGCTTTTTCTCTCCGTACTTGATGGTAGAATACTGCAGACTCCTTCGAAGGTAGGGCCTCTTGTACTCTCTCCATCCCGATAGTCAAACCCCAGTGAGCCCATAGAGCTGCAGACTCCATGACAGCGGGAAGACGCTGCCTCTTCCCTGGGAGCAAAGCCCCCCACCCCAGCCACAGTGGTGGCAGCTTTGTTGTTAGGGTGGATGTGTCCTTGGACAATTGCATGAGCCATTTGGGTTCTGTACCTTGGAGACTGTCAGTCCTTGGGATAGAGGTACTTCTGGTTAATAATGCACGGTAAGAATGGTAGCAGAATTCGTCCACTCATGATTGGTTCACCAACAATTATTTTCCAAGGGTCCGTGCTGTGCCTGTTTGGGGTGTGGATAATGTGATAGTAAACAAACCCAGCAGAGCCCCTGAGAGACCCAGGGAGAGACAACAGGAAGCAATACGGTGTCAGCAGTTGTCAAGGTTGTGCCAGGGAAGAGGGAACTGGGAGCCAGCTGGGAAGGTGGCAGTGTAGTGTTAAACAGGACGACCAGGGAGTCATTCTCTGAAAAGAGAGAGGGCTTTGGAGAGCAGAGCCTGGTGGAGCAGCAGCCCTGTTGTGGGACCTAACCAGGAGGAGCTGTGTAAGGAGAGAGGAGGGAGCTCGTCTGGTGCATTTGGAGAGCGCTGAGCTCAGGTGGCTGCCTGCAAGGGCTGTGGGTGGCAGAGTGATGGGAGGGATCGGGAGGCTGCGGCAGGGGGTGGTGTGGACGAGGGCCAGGCAGGTCTCTGTGGGCCCGGCTTTCACTGAGAGCTGGGAGGCCCTTCTTTGGTTTGGGGCAGATGGGCCATGGGGTCCAAGCTGGTGAGGCGGGGACCAGGGATCATTTGAGCTCAAGCATTCAAGATCAGCCCGAGCAGCCCTGTGAGAGTCCCGTCTCGGAAGCCAGTTCAGAAAGGGGAGAAGGGCCAGGTTCTGGGTACTTGTGAAGATGGCGTCGGCAGTTTGTTGGTGCATCCGTTGTAGGGTGCAAGAGTGCTAATAGCGAAGGGACCCTTGGGGGGCCTTGGAGTGGAGTTGCCATTTGCCAGGCTGGGGAGGACAGTGGGGAGCGGGTTTGGGGGAAATCGGGCAACGTGGACCCTGAGTTTGAGCAGCAGAGTCAGAGCGAGGACCCAGAGAGGGCTGCAGGT